CTTGTCTGTCCATGTTGTTTCTGTTGTCTCCATCTACCTTATGTTGCCTGTCTCTACCTCCAAGTCTCAGCTGTTGTGTCTGGGCAAACAGCAGCAGCAGCGGCGGCGGCGGATGTTTTCGGACAACAACGACGAGGCAGCGGAGAGCACCAGCTCAATCAGGCAAGACTCCAGACGGCGGAAAGGAGCAGCAGAAAGAGGAAGGAAAGGGAGGGCGAGGGAAATGGGACGCTGCAAGGTTCCAGCAGCGTTCAGGTTTCGCTCCATCATGGGCTTGTTGAGGCCCAGGCAGGGTTCCGTCGCGCGCGATTTCTGTACCTGGGGGCTGCCAGGGTACGCGCGCCAAAGGTACCGGCCAGCCTGGGGCGAGCGCGCATCGATACCTCGCTAGTCTGTGTCTTGACGCGTGCCAGGAACGCGAGTGACCTTGCCTTTGAAAGGACGTTACTTTGTAGTACTACTACTATCTGGAAGAACAGAGCAACGAGACGGATTCGGTCACGCACACAAGGTCTGGTGCAATGCAAACAAAGCTTACCTACCTTACCTATAGGTACCCAGAAGGCATGGAGCCGAGCCACGACTCGACCAAACGTGGTGCTAGCATGGCTTTTGGGACCTTGCACGCGACTCGGTGCCTGGATTTGAGTGAAAGTACCTAGGTAGTAAGGTAATATGGAAGGCAGTGGCTGAAGGTGCCATTCGGATTCAGGACGCAATCTGGGGCTTCGCTCTGGTACGCTCAAGCACCTGGACCTGGTTGCGGCTCTCCCCAATCTCGACTCGTCCCTCTTGGACGCAAATGGGCTTGCAGCAAATGCGTCAATGCTACCGTTGCGGGCGGCGAGACACGTGCAGGCCGAGTTGCACGTATTACGCCCTCGGAGAAGAAAACGAATGGGAGGACAAGAGAATTCAACCTCTCGAGGTCACTCGACAAGCACATGCAAGACGGCCGACGCCTTATTACCGTAAGCCCTACCGGACAGCCAGGAATTGAAGGGGAAAAGTAGATTCGGCATCGTCATCCACTGGCCCATCTCGCTTCCAAATCGCCCTCAATGCGCGCGCCAGGCTCGCGTCAACTATTACTGGGAAGCGCCATTCAACTCCTAGACCAGAGCCTGGTCCTCGTTCTCCTCCGCGGGCACCCTCGGCGACGCTGGTTCCTGAGTTGCTGCTGCTCTTGGCATTGAGCACCAGTCAATTGCAGCGATTTGCCTTGGCCGGATCGAGAGGGCGTTTTTCGCTTGGCTCTCGCATTTCGCGCGCTTCAATCGTTAGGTACATAGCCTGCCTACCTAGGTACTAGTAAGTAATACTATGTGCTTCCAAGGCGTCGATTTCCGACGCCGTCCAGGCCGCTGGAGGTCCAAAGGAGCTTGGGACACTCGACGGACACCGGTGACATCCTTGCTCGTGCACAGCTCGAGGCACCTACCGAGATGCCACCGTCCGTCGACCTCTAGGTACCTACCTACCTACCTCCCTTCTCCCACTCGTCTGTATTTCGTCTGGCCTTTTGACGCTGTGGAACAATGTGTAACGCATATGAATCACAGACAATCTGCTCCGTACCTACACTCATGCCTTCCCGACATGGAGACGACTGCGGTGCTCCGTGCTGGAACGAGGACGGACGAGCAGCTCTGCTCGAAAACGGCCAAAGCTCGAGCAGAATGGATCTCATTCCCAGAGCCAACAGCCCAATCCCATTACTAGCCGCACGGGGGAACAGCACCAGACGAGAGAAGCCCCATCCAGTCCCCACGGCAATAACGATTCAAGGCAATGCGCTTCTCGTTAGTATCATAGCACGGAGCTGTCCATAGGTACCAGGGAGTAATAATGAACCCCGGTGAGAATGCTTTCGTACAGGTTGGCTGTTGGCACATATAAAGAGTACGAGTGCCCATCTTGGCTTGTTACCTTATCCGAGTTTTTATCTCGTCGCTAATGACCGAAGACGTTTTGCGACCACCCCCTTACTCCGTACCAGGGAAATTTATCTGCTCACGTCTTCACAGGCTGGAAGAGATCCTGGGCAGGATCTGGACTGTTTAAAACCAAGACGGATACGGAATGCTACCACCTAGAATTACCGTGCTGGAGCCGGAATGCTCGACGGTCATCAAGTAACATGACGATACCTACCTCCTACATACTAAGTACCTTAAGCACCTACCTTACCTAGGTATACTATGTGCATATGTACTTTGACTAGGTAGGTACCTTGGCCGGCTTCAAGATTACAGATCCATCCTGCGTTATTAACTGGCACCGGTGATGCTGCTGGAACCGCTGTTGGGCCTTTGGAGAGACGCATCGCCGGATTCATCTCCATTCATCTCCACGCATCAGTCCTGGATCGAGTAGTAGTATTACTGCTCGGTCAAGTACCTTAAGGCAAGACAAGACATGATACACGCACCAGTGACGTACCCGCTTCGTCCGAACAGCAATCACCTTGTCACGGCAGTGTACCTTCCTTGGTACCTTAGGTACCCGTGTAGATTCTGTCGCCTTTTCCATCGCCAATCCGTTCGTTTGCCTTTCCACGGGACAGCCTCCCCTTTGACCACTTCACTCTGGAGCAGACTAAAACACGGCATGGCATTATCAACATCATCGGGCCAATGCGCGTCCGAATCTTGGATGAGGCTCCTTGACTATGGCTCCGTCCCTGTGCAGCTTGCCGCTCCCGCAGCGCCCCATACATAGGTAGTTTTTGATATCTCCCATCTTACCTCAACAACCGCGGTCCTCCTCTCTTCGATGCCCTCTGATGCACACACACGAGTACCTACTGTGATTCAACCCTCCATCTCCGCCGTCGGCTACGAGGCACTCAGCGACTGGCTGCCCAACAGGAGCCTGCATTGAATAGCGCGCTGCATCTACATGGACCTACTACCTACTTACTCTGCAAGCTGCACCGTTCGCCTCGTCACGCGCAGCGGCACATGTGAGTGACGCTCAGGTGCTTGCGGCCCTTGCAGCGCCCGTTGCAGTCCGTCCTGCATCTATCAATGGATATGCCATGCTGGGTAGTAGTATTACTATCAGTATTTGCCACGTATGATGACATGTGCCCCATGGTTGAATGCGAATCGGCGACTTGCAACTTTGCCTGCCTGGAAAATGGACACTCCGTATCTGCTGGTCTCAGTTGCAGAGTCGTGGGGAGATGAATCCATCCATGTGAGAGCCAGCACGACCGACCATGTCGTATTGGTCCGGACCGCGCCCTTCATGCTTTGTGGTCCTGGCCAATGGCGACGATGGGGTTTCGGGATGTGGACAAGACATTGATTCTCTCTCACATGCGAGAGTTGATGTCAAACACCACGAGTGGAAGCAAGTACATAGGGTAGGGCAGGGGAAGGCATACGAGGCGCATCTATGTAGCTGCTGGAGCAACGTGCCCATTCCTTCGCTTTCCACCCAGGATTAATACAAGGGCAGCTCCCAAGCTGTAATCACCGCGTTCCAGATAACCTGACGTATGCCTGTTGAGATCTTGGATAAAGATCTCAAGTTTGCATTGTCTAGAGTAAGTGTGTGTCTGGTTTCCTGGATTTCGAGGCTCACTTCTACGCAATATTGTGATATTGTGTCGTTGTGGTCCTCAATTATCAACCTACTGCTTTCATGTTACTTTGCGGCAGTTGAAAGTTCAGAACCGCCTACCGAGTGTGAACCATCGATAGGACGAGCGGTCCTGCGGCTAAGCTCTCCAGATTGATCTGGGGGCCAAACGAGGGGGGCGCGCGGCTCGAGCGGCACACGGTTGCCTTTGCCCATCATCGATGGCTTGCTTGCTTGATTGATTGATTGATTGATTGATTACTTCAATCGGCGTTGGCCTTGCTTCCCCGATATCTCGTCAGGTTCGTCCCGCCAGAACCACGGGAACTCCCGATCTCATCGGTGTGAGTCAAAACGGCGTCCATGAGTCGGCATAACAAACTGCCGCCATTATAACGCCGTCGATCCAGCTTGATGCGCGCTTGCAATCACCAAAAGGTCCGAAAAAATGACCGGGGATTTGGTCAGTTAAAGGCTCTTTGGCAATGTCGGAATTCGGTAGCTTGGCCGCGAGCTTTTAGGACTGACCTACCCTGCAGCAAGTGATGAGTCTACAGCATTCAGGTTGGAACTGGAAAGTATTGGACGATGATGATCAACGTCCAAGAGATTGGCCATCAACACCGGATGGTGTAGATCGAGCTCGACGCGCATGTGCTCTACATGATGAGGCCATCCACCATCGATTTGCCATTTAATTCATGGACTTGCCTATCAAGGTACCTTTGTCTGTCACCCATCCAGCTTGTCCCACAAGCTCTCCAAACGCCTTCCATTCTTAGTGCTGCCATCTTCATTCAGCCCCTCTCGCATTTAGCCCGAGCAGAACTCGATCCACAGCCCGTCGACAACAAACTGCTGCAAGTTTCCCCGGGCTTGAGTGCTTAGAAATCCGGACATATCGATGCCATTGGCGGCTGGCCTGCGCCAAGGCTTGGTCCTGCGTTTCGTGCTAAAACGGCTCGCGGCTATTCTCCCGCCTTGTTTGCTTCTTTCTCGCGTCATGGATCTACGGCTTCTTGGTGGGGGGAGGGGGGAACAACTGGCACAAAGTGGTTATTACATACGTCTTTCTCCATGGCGCGCGGGACACACGCTTGACAATTGCCCCGCCTGCTTGTGGGAGCTCTGGCTGGGGTTTGCGAGGAAGTACAGGATTAAAGTAAAGAACTGGATGGTGAAGGGGGGGGGGGGGGGGGGAGGGGGGAGGGAGAGAGAAACGAGCAAGGGGAGGGATGTTGAACGACCCCTCCAAGAGCTCCAAGAGGGGGGGGGGGGGAGGAGGGGGAGACTGAAAGCTGTGAGGTACTTAAACAGCACCGATTGCTCTTAAGCTTTGCGCGGTTCTCTTTCGATCTTGAAACTCTGCGAAGCAGCACAACATCGCGAGATACCCGCCCCAAGCAGACACAATGACCAAGCCAGAGGGACTCCCCGAGATGACGTACCGGAACCTGGGACGCTCAGGTCTCCAGGTCTCGTCCATCTCTCTGGGCGGATGGCTCACGTACGGTGGCCACGTCGACCGAGGTGCGTAGCAGGAGCAATGTGTCACCTCAGGGTTAGAAGAGGAGGGAGAAGTAAGAGCAGCAGGGGGGGAGAGCAGGAGAGCGAGAGGAGAGATTTGAAAGAGAAAGCGGAAGCAGAGCTCAAGTATGCACGTACTGACTGATGGTTGATAGAGGGCACATATGCCTGCATGAAGGCCGCCTACGACTGCGGCGTCAACTTCTTCGACTGCGCCGAGGCCTATGCCGCGGGCGAAAGCGAAATCGTCATGGGCGAGGCCATCAAGAAGTTTGGCTGGAAGCGCAACGACTTGGTCATCTCCACCAAGGTACCGCGCAGCCCCCCTCCTCCCACCTCTGCACCGCATACGGCGCAACTGCCATTGTCAGTTTTGAGAGCTTCCGCTAACAGTGATGCCTTGCCTGCCATCTCTGTAGATCTACTGGGGCCAAAACTTCGGCACCAACCCCGTCAACAACGTCGGCCTGTCTCGAAAGCACATTGTCGAGGGCGTCAATGCCTCGCTGAAGCGTCTCGATCTCGAGTACGTCGACCTGATCTACGCCCACCGCCCCGACCGCAAGACCCCCATGGAGGAGACGGTCCGCGCCTTCAATCACATCATCGACACCGGCAAGGCCTTTTACTGGGGCACGTCAGAGTGGACGGCCGTCGAGATCGCCGAGGCATGGCGCGTGGCAGACAGGCTGGGCCTCATCGGCCCCCTGATGGAGCAGCCCGCGTACCACATGCTCAACCGGCAAAAGGTGGAGGGAGAGTTCCAGCTCTTGTACCGCGAGCACGGCCTCGGCCTGACCACCTTCTCCCCCTTGTTCCAGGGCATCCTGTCGGGCAAGTACAAGAACGGCATCCCGGACGACTCCCGCTTCGCCCGGACAGAGGTCGCCTTCGTTGCCGGCTACTGGAAGCGGACCGGAAAGGAGGTCTGGGAGGGGCACATTGAAAAGGTCAACAGGCTGGAGCCCATTGCCGAGAAGCTGGGCGTCAAGCAGAGCGCTCTGGCCCTCGGCTGGGTGCTCAAGAACCCCAACATCAGCTCGGCCATTACCGGCGCCAGCAGTCCTCAGCAGGTGTATGAGAACATCAAGGCTCTGGATGTCGTGGACAAGTTGACGCCCGAGATTATGGCGGAGATTGACGAGATTCTGAACAACAAGCCTCCTCAGCTGAACGACCGGGAGTAGAGGGACGTTGATGGGAAGGAGAAAGGGAAGAGAATGGAAAAGGAGCAGAGAATTATAGGGAAAATAGTCCCGGAAAGGGCCATTGCTCTAGAACAATGATTAAGCCGGCGGCTTGCTGATTGCTGACATCTCACCCCTTCCTCGTTCAGGGCTTCTCACCAGGCGTTGGCGCCTCGAGTCCCAAATTCTGCCACTCATCCTCTAGCAGACGTACTAATCAAATGGACAAAGGAGACTGATTTGTTTGCCCGTAATTTTGCAGGACAAGATCAGGTGCTTTCCCTATCTACCGCTCTCTATACCATTGAGACGATAGACCATCACGACACCTGAATTCAGCCTCTGCCTGTGCTAAGCCCTAGGAAGATGACGCGAAGTTTAAAGCAGCCACTAATTATCAATCAGCAGATGCAGCATCTCCGGGGAGTGGCTCGATGTACTCAGATTTGCCCAGCCTTACCCCTCCATGCCGATAGTACCTCATCTCTATATAGGTACCTTTATCTCGACAGGCACTCTTTGACTCAAGTTGATCGCATCACAATCCGCGCGCTCCGAATTCAAGGTTGATAAAAGTAAGCCTTTAAACTGAATCTTGATCAATCTTGATACGACGTACGAAACCTTTTGTTTACCATATAATACCCTCGAATTGCTTCTCGCGTCTTACTTGGCATATCAAGCTGCAGCCATGTCGAGCAACAAGATCCAGCAGTGGTTTCCATGGACTGAAGCTCCCGTGATTGTGAATGCGCCCATGGCTGGCGCCGCCAGCCCGGAGCTTGCCGCCGAAGTGACCAAGGCGGGCGGACTCGGTATGTGTGTATGACGAGAAGCCTCATTTTCCGCGTATGACTCTACAAGAACTACCTAGGTAGAGTGAAACCCGGATACACGGGAAATATATACTACACGAGACGAATCAGCAGCAGCGGGGGAAAATGCAAGATGTAGATGGAACACCACTGACATCCGAAAAGGCTTCCTCGGGTGCATCGCAGACGTCAGCGAAAACTCGCCCCAAGTAGCCAAGCTCGACGCAGACCTCACCAAGATCCGGCAGCTGCTGGGCTCCTCTGCGACGACTCCCTCAGGCCACCTCCGCGTTGGCGCAGGCTTCCTAACATGCCACCCGAGCATCACCAACTTTGCGGCCACGGCGCTGCCCATCATCAGAAAGCACAAGCCGGCCGCGGTATGGCTCTTTGCGCCGCATGAGCACATCCGGCCGCAAGGCGAGATTGTGCGGCTGCTCAAAGGGCTGGGGCTCGGGAGAGAGCATGGACAAGAGGCGCCGCCAAGGGTGTTTGTGCAGGTGGGCAATGTGGCGGCCGCGAGGGAGGCGATTGCGGACGGGGCGGACGCGGTGGTTTGCCAGGGGACGGACGCGGGAGGGCATCAGTTCCGCAGGGGGATGGGGGTGGTGCCGCTGCTGGGGGAGACGAGGAGGGTCGTTGATGAGGGCGGGTATGGGGAGGGCGTTTGTGTGCTTGCGGCGGGGGGCATTGCGGATGGGAAGGCGGTGGCGGCTATGTTGACGCTTGGTGAGAAGTCACGGGGGGATATATGATTGATGGGGAGGATGGCCAGTCATGTATAAGTGGACAATGAGGCTGACGAGAGCGAGATACAGAAGCGGATGCCGTGGTCTTGGGCACAAGAGTCCGTATATATCTTCAACCCCCCTTTCCCCCCAAAGCCAAAGAGCCCCCCCCCCCCCCCCCAAAAAGAGAGAACAGGTTCCAGACGGTTCGGTCAAAAAGCTAACATTACATCAAAATTGCACTTGCACGGCAGTTCACCGTCGCCAAGGAGAGCATCGTCCCCGACTTCCGCAAGCAAATCATCCTCGAAGCGTCCGACGGCGCCATCTCGACCCTCAAGTCGCCCTTCAACGACGACATTGCCGACTCGGACCTCTGGGGCTCGCTCTACGACGGGCGGGCCGTCGTGGGGCCCTATCATGAAAAGTTCCTCGCGGGCGCCTCGTTGGACGAGTGCCGGAGGGGGTTGCGCGAGGAGCATTCGCCTGAGGAGGCGGCGAGGCTGATTAACACCTGGGCGTGAGTAATTTATCCTTGCCGGATTTCTTCCCTCCCCCCCCCCTTCCTTTGGGATTTGCTGTATGATTTGTTCGTTCGTGCAGTGTGATCTTTTGGTGCTGATGGACTTTGGCTTTTGTTAGGGGCGCGGCGATTGGATTGGTGAGAAAGGAGCAGCCTGCGGGTGAGATTGTGCGAGAGGTGCGCGAGGAGGCCAAGCAGGCTATTCGCAAGGTTGCAGCTCGTGTCTAGGTAGGTATAGGGGCATATCGGCATCCGTCTTGATTGTTCACCCGAGGATTTGATGGAGAGATAGCAGTTAGCAAAAGGCAAAGCTGGAAACGTATCCAGCTGAATAATGGTATTCTCGTCTATGCCAGCATTCATAAGGCAAAGTAAGCTCGAAACAACTTATCCCTCATTCTCCAGCCTCCTCTTTTGCGGTGGGATTAAACCCAGCGACGCAACTTCAGTCGGACCAGCAACAGGGAATTGGTATGATACATGAGGAAGGGCAAAAAAAAAAAAAAAAATCAAGAATTGCGGTCAAGGGGGCGTTGCGTTTCCAGCAGTTTCCCCTCGTCGTATGTACACCCCCCCGAGAGAAGATTCCATATGAAATAATGCGCTTGGGTGCGCGTTGAGCTTCTCGCGTCTTACAACTTGGACTTGGTCTGGGCCTTCTTCAGGATGGGCTCCATCTTGGTGGCCTTCATGACGTCGCCCTTGACCTTGAGCTTGCCGGACATGAAGAGCCGCTGGGCCTGCGCCTTGCCGGAGACGAGCTTGCCAAAGTCCTCGTCTGAGAGAGTCAGGGTGACTGCATTTGACAGCAACGAAAACGACAAACGTCAGCAACAGTCCGCTCAATCCGCCTTAAGATAGTCCTTTTGGGAGACTTTTGGGAGAAAGAAAGAGGAAAAGGGAAGGGAGGGGAGGGGGGGAAGGGATCGTACCGGTGGGATTCTCGCCCAGGCCTGTGCCGACTGTGCCCGTCTCCTTGAGGTCAATGTGCCAGCTGGCCGTCTCGCCGGCCTTGTTCTTGAGGGTGAATGCAAAGACGGCCTTGCCGTTCTTGATGGCGTCCTTGCGGTCGGCTTCGCTGCTGCTGAGGGCGGCGTTGATGGCGTCGAAGGCCTCGGAGGAGGGGAATGCGTCTGGTCGGTTGTGGCGCAAGAGAGCGCGTGTGTTAGCTTTGGGACTGTCAAAGGAAGAAGGCTGTCGTTGGGGGTTTGCGGTGCTTACCGTTCTTGAGGGACATGCTGCGCGAGATTCGTTTGGGGGGGGGGTTTTGTTTTGCGAAGGGGATGGGTTGCGGAGGAGGAATAGTTGGGGAGTTTGGCGACGAGGTTGATATGTTGGCTGGTTGAGGAATCGAAGAGGAGAGAGGAGAGAGGAGAGAAAGAAGAAAGATTCGTTGGATATGTATTGAGCATTAGCCGGAATGGATGGATGACCGTCGAGGGAGCCGCGCATGTGATGCGAGCCTCGGCCAAACTTGCGTTGCTGACATCATCACCATCATCCCTGGCCGCCGAAACAGCGAGCTTCAGGTTTAGCCTCGTTTCTTCCCCAGGAATCCCTCTACAGCGCCCAAAGAAAATTCACAGCTGTCAAATACCTATATACCACAGGATGAAATGGAGCATCCTTTGTAAATGAAGCGCGTTGCTCGTTCTATTGTGCCTCGTTGACGTTGTGTGTCTGATTAATATTTGAAGGGTTCATGTATGCAGACTGGAATAGCGCTTCTACTACCTGGGCAGGTAAGTGACATCAATGGGTTTGGCTGATGTGCCTTTCGGCTATATTGGAGCGTGGGGTCGATTCCCCGGATCTGACACGTGGGAACGGCACTGTTTGAGCAGAGGAGGCGTGCTTTGACGTCGTCTGTGTATGGCGGAATGATGAGCTCGGCATCTTCTTGTTCATGTGGCTGATGCACGGGCTGACAAGAGCCGAACTAAGGTACTGGATAGGTAGGTAGGCAATACTACGTAGGCATTTCTCGGCCTCGATGTGTGCTAGAGAGCCATGAGAGCAGGTCTATATGCCGAGCAAAAGAATCGATGGTCAGACTCCGTTTTCACTTGGCGCTGCATCTGGATCGCAATGGGACTCTTGGTTCCTTCTAACCCATGACCTAGCCCTCGTGTATCTGTAACGAAATCTATGAAGCCCAGCCTGTACCGTGACTCCCAATCCAGTGCCTTCGTCAGTCTCCGTATGTCTTACAGCTGCCACTCAGGAACGGTAAAGTTGCGCTGTTGTGGCCAGTTCTCGGGTCTGCATGAATGAAGTGTCAGCTGGACGTCGCTACAACCCAGCCATGGAAAGACGCACCTTGTTAGCAGCAGCGTCGCTATCCGCCGCCGCCTCTCGCCCGGCTCCTCAGCCGCGGTCAATCGTAGCCAGTCACCAAGCCGCCTCCTCAGCTCTTCCTCACTCTTGCCCAGCACGTTGAGGCCGCGTTCAGCACAGGCGATGCGAAGCTCCTCGACTTCCAGCCCCGACGGGCCGCCGCCGTCAAGCAGTCGTTTGTCATCGACCTCGAGGTACGACAAGCGCAATTTGCCTTTGATATTCCACATTCCCGGGGGTGTAAATCCCAGCCGATCCCACATTGCCCCTGAGAGATCCAGGGTTCTGAGAATGTGCTGGCGCGCTACAGCTTTGGTGATTTGGGGGCTGAATGCACCTTCAGGATACTTGCTCTCCAGATCGTTGAATGCCGCCGCACGCCGCCGTTCAGCTTTTTCCAATATATCCTTCATCAGACTCGGGAACCGGCATGTGAAGGGCAGTATGCCGCTGACGAAGACGACCAGGAGGGGTGTGAATTCGCCGGCAACCATGAAGAACAGTGCAAACACGGGCAGCCGCACGAGATCGTGCCTATTTCGCCACAGCAGTACCCAGTCTGCGCGGGAGAAGGAATCTGGAACATAGCGAGGCTTGAATATCGTGGGCCGCTCAGCCCTGGGCAGGCTCTTGACTTTGGCGTTGAGCAGCTTGGCGTTCGTCACGACGGCCTTGACGCCCTGGGTGAAGAATTTGACGTAGGATTTGCCCAGCTGGAAGTAATACTTGACGGTGGACGGCTGAGGCTCGACGGGTTGCAGTGGCGGCGGACGCGTTGAAGCTGGAGGATTGAGGAATGGGTTTACAGGTGCCAGCTGCGGAGTGGCAGGGCTAATGTTCTTGTCATTGCGAAGAATTCTTGACTGATGCAATGCTCGGCTGGCGCGCAGGATATGCGACTGGGCGACTATTCGAGGTCTGAAGAGCCTCCCTTGGGCCATGATGTGGTAACTCATGCTTGTGGTTGCACTCCTGCCGTCAAGATCTGGATGAAGATGTTGAAGGGAAGACGTCTATAGAGAGCTGAGTTTTAGCATCATGATCGACTGAGGTTGGACTAGCTACCTAGTTGCGGATCAGAGGGCTTGGGAGGTTTACATGATGACGACCAGCTTTCGGGGCGAATCTGTGCAGTCTATGCGTCGTCTATGCCATCATGATGGTCGATTGGCCAGCTGCTAAACTTTGGATTAGTCAGACGCGACTCATATTACAGTCAACAGCAGATCCGACACACTCTCGGAACACTGTCAATTGCTCCCAAGGCAGTGTGGGCTTGTGAATTGGTGACAGATGGCTTGAAAAGTCAAAGAATGATGAGAGGAAAAAGAAAATTGAGAGGTTGCCGCTTCCTGCCTACTCGGGAAGTCGCATTCGGCGGCGTTCCGACCTGGGATCCAATTGGTCTGAGTAATAAGACCGCCAACTTTTGGACGCGAGCCTCAGGATATTATTACAGCCTCGTCTCATCATGCTCGCTGGTTCTCGAGTTGTAAGACATGAAGATATATTATCACGACTCTTCATTATACCCCGTTGCAAAAATCTTATTACGTGATACATCTATAGACCCAAGTTCGAATGACTACCTTCGCAGGATGACTCTGCTGATTGCATGCGAACAAGCTCCTGTTCTGGCTTCTCAACTCTTACATCTACCCTATAGATAGAGGTCATCGACATTGCTACGGAAAATTGCAGACGGAGCACATTGTATCAATCTGCGCGACCAATGCGTACATGTATTCTAGAACAGCAAATTCGCATCTCGGCCAGACTTTCCGTGGATGCTCGGCTTTTCTATTCTGTCATTTATGATGCAGTCGTGCTGCTCCAAACGAAGCGGGCCCTTGCACACCGCACCAAGGAGACGAGAGTTGCTCCCCAATGATTCTGTCGACTAGGGGGCTGGTTCAATCACTATCAAGGGAGCATTCATGTCAAGATGTGCAGTGCCGATTGTGTACTAGACTAGGCCTTGTCGGATCTTGTTGTTGTTACAGTAGCTCGATGGCGTCTGCCGGCAGTCCATTATCGAGATACACAACCCGGCTACGTCTGGGGAGTGACGAAGAAGAGGCTCAACTTGCAAGCTACCTATACCTTGCTACTACAGTACTATGAACACACATACTAATGGCATCTTCAACAACCTCCACCTTGCCCCCGATGGCGTCAATGGCCCCCCCACTGACTCGCCGTTGCCGTGTCTTGCTTAGCGGGCTCCGTCCCATCTCGAACTTTGCGGTGACTAATCGCTCAGCTCACACAATCTTCGAGGGAAAAGGCGGCTTCTGAAAATCCGCATCGCGATCAAGGAGACAAGTGAAAAAAACAAGCATCGCCGTTGCCGATCTGTGGGAATCAAAAGGAGATCGATTGACGCCAAGAAACAAAGAAAGTTCTGACGCATTCTTTTTTTGCTCGCCAGGGGTAATAAGAAAGGAGACAAACAAGGAACACAGACAACAACACATAGAAGACAAAGAGAAGAAAAAAAGGAGCCATGGTTCGTTCAGGGAGACTAGTCACAAAGTTCTCAACACTGGCCGTTGTGCTCACCTGAAAGCTGCAGGTCCACGCCGATGCGTCCAACTTTGCCGAGGGCGTCACCAAGGATGATGCCTATGAGCAGGTGCTGCTGCAGGCCGAAGGGCTGTTTTACGGTCAGCGCAACTGGGTTCGTATATCCATCTCCTTTCTTGTCCCTCTCTCCTCACCGCGTCTCGGCGGGCAACATGTATGTAATACGACTCAAGGACTAACATGCGGCTCCCCCCGGCTGGCGATGACCAGGTCTGGTAGGTGATGGGCGTCGACTCCATATTCATCCGCCGAGCGAGGCCGGATCCTCGCAGCTGGAGGTATGAATTTGATATGATCATGACTTGTGTTGACGCGAGGCGGCTAGCAACCTCTCCAACGCGGCTTCGCTGCTGTGGCATGCCTACAAGTCCCTTCCCGCCCCGAGCAACCAAGTGAACTGGGCAGGTAAGTTGGCAAACAACAACTCCCAATTGAGAGACACAAAACTCTTCGAGACGAAGGGACCAAAGGGTGTTATGCTTATGTTTGCTTCCCTCTAGGCTTCTACGTGCTCGATCCCTCAGCCAAGGATCAGCTCATTCTGGGACCGTTCCAAGGCAAAGTTGCCTGCCAGACGATCCCGTTTGGCCGAGGCGTGTGCGGTGCTGCTGCGGCCACCAAGACTACGCAACTCGTTGACGACGTCGAAAAGTTCCCCGGCCACATTGCGTGCGACAGCGAGAGCAAGAGCGAGATCGTGGTGCCCATTGTATCGGGCGACAAGCTCGTCGCAATCATCGACGTCGACTGCGCCGAGCTGAACGGATTCGATGAGACGGATAAGAAGCACCTCGAGCACCTCGCCGACCTGTTGGCAAAGGGCTGTGACTGGTGATAGATGAGCTGAATGAAGATGACCTACCTATGAATGGAAGACATCGATGGCCTACAGTACTGTGCGAGTGAAACAATTGTCGACCATTGGCATGCCTTGACGACATGGCTACATGTAATATTGGTGTGTGTGTTCTTACAGATGTGCAATGTTGAAGTCCTATCCGTACTTTGCTCGCTACTCATCATCTTACCGATATCTCGTCGAGCTATGCGAGATCCCACTTGTAGAACGCAAAACAAGAATTCGAGCCCATCGGATGTAAGCGAAACAGTGACCGCCAGTTCCGCTTCTCCCTCCCCATCATATATGATACGGACCACACCGTCTATTACATCTAGGTACCTATAGACGCGAATATTCGTCACGGAACACACGCACGGAGAGTGTCCGTTTGGGTCACGAAAGTTATATCCTGATGCGCCATCCGTAGACGCCAATATTGGGCACAAATACGGAGTACTACTACATAGTACACAAGGCAGGGATGTGGTGTGGAGGGGGAGAGAGGAAATGACAAAGAAGCGCAAGTCGAACAAGCTCCAAAAGGGCTGCCAGTACCCGCTGCTGACGCCTCCTGAGATGCGCGGCTCGGAGAGACTGCCGCAGCAATTCCCACACGTCGTGGGCGCAGACGGATCTGATTCGATGGCCTTGAACGACTGGGTGGGTGGTAGGGCGACGTCAGCTGGCTGGGCTTGGGGGAGCAGGCAAGGATCCGTGGTGTTGCTTGTTTGTCGATTCAGTTGGTATGGAGCAGGGCTGCAGGCATGAATGGTGTCGGAAGAAAAGAGAGAGATGGCGGTGATGCAAGAATTCGAGGTGATTGATGCCTGTAATAAGTTCTGGGTCTCGGGGGCTGTCCATGGAGACGACTGGAGGAGATGATATTTGATGTACATACAATGCTACGGCCAGGTCCTAGTCATTGATGTTAGCATGTCCCGTCCATGAGCAAACGTGCATTCAGCTGAAACTGCAGCACATGGAGAAAGCCAGCCAGCACGAGTCGCTGCAGAAACGCGTGGGCAGCGGCTGAGACGGTCCAGAGAGATGGCCATGTGCATTCCAGCAATGCAGGGAGCCCGATCGATCGTCATGCACCAGTGATTCAACCGCTCCCGTTTCTTTGTTCCAGGTTCCCTCTGGCGGGTTGTTTACATTGACGGAAGCAGCTCTTTTTAGCTGAGCAACGCAACACAACACAACACAGCACAACACAACACAATACAATACAACAGGCTTCCGTTGACAGGGCACCGCCTCTTCCCTGCAAGATCCCAGCGCGATGAGACCCAGGCGGGGCTGAGGCAGACTTGGGCATTGATCGCGGGCCACTAGACCGCTGGACGACAACCTCGAAAGAGAGGCTCGCGGCCAGTCAGCGCTCCAGGCTGGGCAGATGCCCGCTGCGGCCCTTGCAGTAGTAGTAGTAGCAGCCGCTCCAGCCACCCCGATTTCGAACCAGCCACCCAAAGGGCATCATCAACAAAGGGATTGATGGCGGGTTCGAAAGGGCGGGCGTTGCTGCAGCGCGCCGTATCAAGCAATCCATGGACAAGGTGCCCGCATCTCCAGCCCTGAAACCCGCCAAGGGTCGCTCTCTCTTGTGACGGATCCAAGGATAAATGCGAGTTGGCTCAAGACATGTAACTTTTGGATCATCGTGGAAAGGGTGGAAACGCCCAAAGTATCGGCATTACCTCCCGATGCTTGCATCGAGGCCCGTTCAGTTCCTTGGAAGAAGAACTTCAAAGTTCCGTCCACCGAGTTTCCACGGCCCCTCTCTCCCCCCCCAGCCTCGCACCAGACCTGGGCTGTAATGCTAGGACGCACAGCACTGCTGCAGCCGCCTGGCGGTGCGCTACCTAGACTGCAGCCCAGCACCCGCCACAGCGCTACGGCCGCTGGAACAAGGCGCTGGGGCCCAGAGGGAGCTCCCTGGAAGGGCAGATGCATGGCATGGAGCACTGCTGTGGCAGGATCCGTGCTTCCCTTGGGGCTCCAGCTCGTGCGGGACGCCCAGCAAGAAGCATTACCTACCTCTCCACACCCTCCACGCCCTCTCTCTCTCCTCTCCTCTCCTCCCCTCTCTTCCAAGTTTCCATTCTCTTTTAACCTCTTGCGCTGCCGTATCCGTGGGCATCAGATTGATGCTGTATACTTTCTCTTCTTTCATCTCCGTGACTCCCTCGGCGGCTATTATTAGGTCTGATTCGTCGTCATCGCCGGCACAGCCTTTCTCACGTCTGCAAAGCTTAATGGTGGCGTCCAATTACGACGAGCCGCTGATCGCCAGACGCTAGCATACCATCCATACCAAGACCTCGAGATCTGCCGATGTAAACAAAAGCAACAGCATCCCAGCGTCCCGCAGCATGGAGGTCTCCCATCTCCTACCTTCAAAAACCGGCCGAGGCAACGCTCTTGCGAGCCTGTTCCAGCCAACCATGGCCCTGTCCACGGCGTCCAAATCATTCGCCATCAACGGCCCGCACACCGCAGGCCTGTTTGCCGACATGTCGGTCGACGGCCCAGTCATTGGCACCCTCGTTGCCATTGTCGACCGCGCAAAGAACTTGCCCAACCGCAAGACCATTGGCAAGCAGGACCCCTACTGCGCCGCCAGGCTGGGCAAGGAGGCCAAGAAGACGGCCACGGATGTCAGAGGCGGCCAGACGCCCAAATGGTAAGCCCGTTCTGTTTTCCGTCGGATCCCGTCATGGAACTTGGTGGTGAGACAAATATTGAGAGCAAGCGACTGACCTGGACCTATCCTTTTTCTTTCTTTTCGACTCGTGCAGGGACCAAGAGCTTCGCTTCACAGTGCATGATTCAGCCGACTACTACCAGCTCAAGGTCTCCGTCTTCACAGACGACAAGAAAACCGACCTCATTGGAGAGGCGTGGATCGATCTCAAGGGCATCATCATTGCTGGAGGCGGCCAGAATGACGTGTGGCAGACCCTCACCTGTCGAGGCAAGTATGCGGGGGAAATTCGACTGGAAATCACCTTTTACGACAGCCGGCCCAAGCCCGAAAAGCCCGCTGCCAGGTCTAGGCAATCCATGGGCGGCGAGCTCGAGAACTCGTCGCCAAAGCGCAAGGACATTGTGAAAAGACGTCCTCTGCCGACCGATCCCGTCACCGGTGAGGTCACTGCAAACATCTCATCTCAAACCCCGCCAGACTATCACCAGACACCACCCCGGCATATCGGGAAATCCATCCATCACTCACCATACAACTCCACCAGCTCACTCAACGAAACCACCGAGTACGGCACTCCGCCACAGGGAAGCACTCGCTCGCGCCATGGAGACTACTTTCTTTCACACTCGCCCAGCGGCCATGGCCATTCTGGTTCCGGCCGTGTCGAGGGACCTCGCCAGCCACGCCCGACACGACAGGACTCGCACGAGAGAGAGAGCCGCTTCAGCCAGAAGATACCCGTCTCGCCCTATGAGCAGTTTGACCCCCGAGGGAGCACCTATTCGCTCGCGGGCGACACCTACGACATGATGACCCCAATGGACGATCCCGCGCCCTATCCTCCCCAGGGGGCTCCTCGACAGGCCGCTCCGCCACCGCCGGCTCACCGATCGCGGCACAGCACCAGCCAGGAGGGTCTGCCACGGAGAAGTGACGAGGCGTCGCCTCAGAGGGTCACTCCGCCTGCGTCAATGAGATCTGACGTTTTGAAAAACGAGGCTCATAGAAACACCACATCAAACTACCCTGGCCGCCCGCAGTTTCGGGCCTACGATCCGACCATGGCCGCTCCACCCCCCATGCAGAAAGCCATCGCGTACGAGCCGCACAATTCCTACGACTCTCTCGACTCTCAGCATCGCTCCATGCAACCCACCGTGGAGGACGTGCCGGAGTCGCCCCCAGGCTCCATGCGAAGCAGGCCTCGCCGCAGCATCCCTCCCCTAGACGAGGTGGTGTACGATGCCGGTCCCATTCCAGTGTCGACAGGCCTCAGTCGCTCTCCAGGAGGTGCATCTCCTGGGTTCATGAGCCAATCCCCGGGTCCATATCCGTCTTATCAGGAGCAGCCTCGGAACCAAAACTCGGTGTCACCTCTGTCGACTAGGGATTATACCGAGAGTCCGGAGCAGATGGCGCAGTACTCCTACGGCAGCCAAAGCCAGCGCTCTACCCAACAGCGAGAGCACGAGACCACCTACATCCAGAGCTCTCCGAGCTACGGGCTTCCAGGACTACCCCCTTCCTTGGCTCCTGGCGTAGATCCCAACTTGGTTCAAGAGATGTCTAACAGAGCATATGGGGAACAACACCAAGACGGCCGATACAGCTATCAGACCAATCAAATCGTCAGCGTTTCTACTCGAGACCGCCATAGGAGCGAGCCGCCACCGCCTTCGCACGAGCCGGCCTACGGCGCTTCGCCGCAAGCATACGAATCATACGACAAGCGAAGATCGGGTACATATGCCAGTGGGCCTGACCCGCATGCGCAGGGATATCGAGATGCTTCCCCTAACCCCCAACATAGAATCCGACGCAAGTCGGTCAGCCCTGCACCTCGCTCTTCTGACAATAGGAGGCACTCGGACATTCCCTTCAGCCCAGACTCCTACGACGCCTTCAACCCTGGCATATCTTCTAGAGATGCATCTCCCGGGCTCGACCCGTCCGACTCGCCTTCCAAGATTGTCACGCACGACGGCAGGGAGATTGACCCATCGGATCATCTACCTGAAGAGTCCTGGGCTCCCGAGCCAGAGACCAAACCCTCGCCAGAGCCTTCGCCGACTCGAACCAGGCCGGCTCTATCTGGAGCACAGCCGATGCCGCCTAGCGGCCGGAGGCCCCTCCGCATTAGCATGGCAAGGACCTCGCAGGCCATGGTGCCGTCCACCGCCTACGGTTACACGGAGGGACCGCGTGCTCCGCCGGTGCAAGGCGGGCGCCAGCGTCTGCAGAAGAAGACTCGCCACTCCATGCCGCCGACGACGGCGGTTCCAAACCCTCCCGCGCCTATTGCGCCAGACAACTTCCATGACAGGACGAATCATTACAGTTCTACTCGATCACGCGCTGGCGCGTGGGACCACCCAACCGACAACTATGCACCTCACTACAGCGTCGCTAACCAAGGCCCTCCAATCCCGGCCAAAGTGCCACTGCCCGTTATGAGCGGCGCCAATGGAGGGGCCGAAGACATGGCTCTGATCCAGGAGATGCAAAAGATTGATATCGGCACCGGCCGTTCCAGGCGCCGAGGCGGTTATTGAAACTCTCATGATGCAGTGTAACTCTGTTTTGTACGAATATTGATGAGGCATGTATAAATCGGTATTGGGAAGGATAATGGGCGGCGTCTTTGGAAAGTTTGGAACCATGAAAATCATTCTTTCCCTCGTTTCCCTTTCCGTATCCCTGTTTGCCTCTTCTTCTTTTTTTTTTTCATTTTCTTATATTGCTCTCCTTGTGTCGCCTTTTCCTTTCTTTTCCATGATGCTAGCAACGGTTTTCATTTGATATATGACGTGACGTGGTAGTAGATTTAGAAACGAATGCAAAACTATGAATGATATGGCTGTATGATGATGTGATGCCGTGCTTGACAGACAAGAAGCGATGATGCAGGGACGGAATTTTCCCCTTGCCATCGTGTGCGCTAGTGTACACTAGTCTATGAATAGTATAGCGCTGCTGTCCCTGCGGTAAAGTTTCCGCAGTTCGATCTTATCGACTTTTGCTTATCGCCAACAAAAAAAAATATCCAACTTAGCCTGCCAACCTCACACTGCACGAACTGCTTGGATCGTCACATAGCCCGTCTCTGGGAGCGAGGACAGAACCCAATTGCCAATTCAACACACCTCAATACCAGAAGAAAACATCTCAGAGCTTTGGCTTGAAACCAACCGACTAGTCGAAGCGACGAAGCACAATGGCAACACAAGTGGCGCCCCTGCCGAGGGTCAAGCTGGCATCGGGCCCCGCGCCCTTGACCGCAGAGCAGAAATACTGGAAGTCATTCAAGAACCAACTCCTCATCCCGTCGCCGACCAACTTTCCGGTGACGCACGTGTCGAGCAGCAATGACTCCTTTGCCGTGACGACGGGCACCCGCGTGCAGATCTACTCGATTCGCAGCCGCAAGCTGCTCAAGACAATCACACGCTTCACAGATGTGGCGCGCAGCGGCGAGATTCGCAAGGACGGGCGCGTGCTGGTGGCGGGCGACGACACGGGAAGGATACAAGTGTTTGACGTGAACTCTAGGGCTATTCTGCGGACATGGCTCGATCACAAGCAGCCCGTGTGGACGACCAAGTTCTCGCCCGTGGAGCTGACGACGGTGCTGAGCACGAGCGACGACAGGACGGTCAGGCTGTGGGATCTGCCGAGCAGCGAGCCGACGAGCACGTTTGTGGGCCACACGGACTATGTGAGGGCTGGAAGCTTCATGCCGGGCACCATGGCCAACATGGTGGTGTCGGGAAGTTACGATTCGACCGTTAAGCTGTGGGATCCGCGAACGGGCAACAATGCCGCCGTCATGACATTCAAGCACGCCGCCCCCGTCGAGAGCGTCCTTCCCCTGCCTACGGGGACGACGGTCCTGGCCGCTGCCGGAAACGCCGTCAGCGTGCTCGACCTCGTTGCCGCGCGACCGCTACATCTCATTACCAACCACCAAAAGACGGTCACGTCCATGAGCCTGGCCTCTGGTGGCCGCCGCCTCGTCACCGGCAGCTTGGAAGGCCACGTCAAGATGTTTGAGACGACTGGATGGAACGTTGTCAACAGCTTCAAATACCAGGCCCCCATTCTCTCTGTCTGCGTCATCCCCTCAGGCGATGCCTCCGGGGCTGACGATCGCCATCTCGCCGTCGGCATGCAGTCTGGCGTGCTCAGCATCCGCACGCGCATGACGGGCGCCGAAGCCACGAAGCAGCGCGAGCGCGAGAAGGAGATGGAAGCCCTCGTTGCCGGAACCATCGACTCCCTCGACGCCAAGAAGCAGAAGCGCAAGCGCCGCATCGAGGCCTCCAAGCGCCTTGATATGCTCGGCGAAGGCGCCGACGTTGTCATTGCGAACGAAGGCCGCGTCACGAGGAAGAAGGAAAGACCATGGCAAGCCGACCTCCGCCACGCCCGCTACGCCAAGGCCCTTGACCAAGTCGTCGACCGCACCTCGCCCGAATACGCACCCCTCAACGTCCTCACCCTGCTGCTCGCGCTCCGTCACCGCAGCGCCATGCGGGATGCGCTGGAGAACCGCGACGAGCAGAGCGTGCAGCCCGTGCTCAAGTGGGTATGCGGACACATTTGCGACCCGCGGTACGTGAGCGTCTGCGTGGAGGTTGGCATTCACCTGCTGGATCTGTATTCGGAATACGCTGGCGCTTCGGCGGAGCTGCTTCAGGGGTTCAAGACGTTGCACAGGAGGGTCAAGGTCGAGGTCGAGAGGGCGCAGTTGGCCTGTCAGAGCGGAGGCATGCTGGAGAGCCTGATGATGAGCGCGGTATAACGGGACTTGTGTGCTGCTGCTTGAGGTGAGGAGAAGAAGAGAGAAAAAGGGCGTGGGAGCATTTGGGACAAGTTTGGCGTTTGGGCGGCATCTTTCATGGCTTCGTATTCCCCCGTTTGTAAGAGACTTTGGGGGATTCTCTCTTGTGTACATTGTCTTGACGACTGCACACTCGATTAGAGATCAATAATAGAGTGTTAACTGATATGATTGCATCTCATCTTGCCTTGTCCGGTTTTGCCTTGCATGAATATATTAGCACACATGCTGACATATTTCGGCGTTCAGATATATATGAATGCTTCAACTTGTGTAACTATATGCGTTGTCAGATGCATGTTGCCAGAAACGGAACGGCACCGCTTTTCTGTTCTTTGTATCGCGGCTGAATCCTATATTGCACTTCTACGGAGTAATTCTTCAAGGCCGATCGTAAACAATGCCCAAGCCGGGCCACCAATGAACTCGACAAGAGGTGTAAGTAAGTGAATGCATCTTTGACCACTCAGCATCGCGCGGCCTCCCACTGAACGCCTCCATATCACATGATGACATGTAGCCAATCAATTTCGCGCTCTTGTAGATATTTGCATACAGGACTTGTGAGTAAAATGAGGGGGTTCATATGCATGGTACGGATTACATGCCGTTGCCACTTGGCTGGCAGTTGCAGTGGTTGTAGGCCTCCCGCTTGTTGGTGACTCGACTACAAAAGCTCTACTCGCTTCCGATGCGGTTGCTTTGGGTCGCATCATTCTCAAGAGCAATTACTTTCCTCGTGGTCACTAAATCTGAGAAAAAGGCTTTGTTTTCCTTCTTCACTGGTTGAGCGTCGCTTTCTTCCAAGTTAGATAACCAACCCCCGATCCAATTCGGGCTTCGCCAGGGAGCGCCGAGCTTTTCAATCCATCGCCAGTTTCTCTATTTTTTTTTCGTTTCAATTTCCTCCAAGTTTCTGTATCTCTTAGGAAGCCACAAACGGCTGGTTTTCCGCGTTGCCAAGCTTGTCTTGCCATTGCAGTAATGGCCTCTCAACATGCCAAGGAGGAGGAGGATCTTCCCTCCTGGTACGCCAATCTATGGGCTCCTCGAGTCGACCTCATCGGTGACATTGCCGGCAAGGAGCCGTTTCTCATTCATGGAGAGTCTTTGATGCGGCATTGTCTCGAAGAATCTCCGCCGGACTTCCAAGGTAGGCAGATAGAGCTAGACACGGAAGCATCCCCTCATACCAACTCGACTAAATACTCATCGACTCGAAGACAGCCCCCAGCTAACAGTTTATAGATGGATTTCAGTTGCTTCATGCTGTGTACGTCGTGGAGAGATTTCTCAGCAATCTGCAAAAGAGGGGCTGCGATTTTGACGTCGTCTTCTTCCGAGACCTGAGGAACCTTTGCGTGCCTCATCTCTCTGGATTCGAATACAAATACCAATACGCACGAACCGTCATCATCAAGCATCTGCAGAGACATGCTGAGGAAAACGCGAGGAACGGTGCAAGGGCAGCCGTGTTGGAGTTTGAGTCTGTCGACTGCCGGGAATTCCGCGAGTATCTCGAGGGCTTGCCAATTCACTTTGTTCTATGTCACGATGGCGTTGAATCGGAAGATGTCAAAGACACAATCGTATTCCGGAATCTGATTTGCTCTTTTATGAGGCGTGGCAAAAATGTAGCCATCATCAATGCTCTCGAATGGAAGAGTTCAAAGGTACGTGGCTTGGAAACATACCTCCTCCTTCTATTGCGAGCATCAAACTGACAGTCCATCCTCTTACATAGGCATACGCGCCTTTGCTGAGCATATTACCCAAGGAAGTGCAGCCAATTGACGCCAAATTGGAGTTTGATTCGCCGTATACTTCATCCTTCGACGGAATGGATCTATGTATCCAGCCTAGGCTTGTCGTGCCTCAGGATCTCACTGCTAGAGAACGCTTGGGAATCACAGCCTGTCTAAACCTCGCCAACTCACCGGGGAGCGCTTTCGCGGATCTGAATCAACTACAAGAGGGCATACAGGCTTTCCTCCTCCATCTTGCAGTCCTCAAGCACTGTACCCTGCTTGAGCGGCAGCACTGGGTTGGTGCCCGTCGCTCCAACCCAGCACCCGAGCATCAGAATCTGTTGCGTGGAATTACCGAAGCGTCGTTGCTGTTGATGGAGAAGGACGAGTGGATAACAAGCATCAATACTGCCGAATGTACCTGGGATCTATATGATGCTATTGATGGTTCTTTGTTTCATTTTACGCTCGACTCTCTCCGATCCCGTCAGGGGCTTCCTGACCAAATCATCCAATCATGGCAACATCTTTGGTCGGCTTTCCGCGCAGCAACAGGCCGACAGTTCCCCGAAAGCCTCCCCAAGCTGGTGGACATCCCGACCGAAACTCTCCCGGATCATCTAGACAAGTCACAAGTGTCGGCTCTGCCCTTTAGCCACCCTGTCCTGGATGCGTTTCTGAATGATATCAGGTTGAAAGTGACCCAAGACACGCAGGACACATCCGCACAATCAGTGTTTGAGGACCTTCACCATTGGCACAACACCAAGCTATTACTGCCGCCTAACAAGCCGCAGAAACTCGGATTCTTTGCAAGAAGGAGAATTCAGAAACGTGTGGCCGACATCGTGGCCTACTCGGCGAGCCTTACCAATGCAAGAGGCAAGCTCATTGAGCCTGAATCCATCGTCGTGAAGAAGGCTGCGGCAACGCATGCTTCGAGGAACAAGAAGTCCTCGACAGAGAGCAGCAGTAACAGCACAAATAGCCGACCCCAGCATCAATTCAAGAAGCCAGGACGCCCCGCAAACAAGCCGGGTGGCAGGGAGAGGGCTCTCAGAGCCGCGCAAGAGGTTCAGGAGCGAAAAGCATCCGACAAGCGGGATAGCACAGTCACGCTGTGGGCCGATACGTGCCGCGAGATTGAGAAAGAACCTTCTCTGATAGCCCGCTATCTGAAAGCTCTGAGATTCCTGAACGACCGATCCAAAGTCGACCATGTCGCTCTTGGATCAGAAGTCCATCTTTATTTGTGCCACCTTCTCGGGAAGTTGTGGGCAAAGGCACGGACAGATGCCAACACAAGAGCCGGTGAGAACACATTGAGATAGCTCCAATACCCTGTGTAAGAGCATGCTAACTGTAAGGTCCCAGGATCTTACCTCATTGCTCTCATCTGGAGATGGCTCCAAGAGCTCCCGGCGATTGGGGTATCCAAGGCTGTGGCCCGGGCAATTCAGAAGCTGACAGTGTGCCTTGAGATTCCAGACCTTCCGATTGCCATAGGTAGTCAAACACACAAGATGTCGTTCGAGTTTGACTACGGTGCTTTAAAAGACATGAAAAAGACCATGGCAAACTTCCAGCAAGTGCAGCTCGAGTTTGCTGCCCCTTACATGGACCGACGATTCGACTCCCAGCCGGATACGCGGGTGCCCTTTGATCCTGACGCCTGGCAAATCAAAGTGCTGAACTCCATCGATGCCAACAACAGCCTGCTTGTCATAGCTCCGACGTCTGCGGGAAAGACATTCATCTCCTTCTACGCCATGAAGAAAGTGCTCGAGGAGAGCGACGACGGTGTGTTGGTGTACGTCGCTCCGACCAAGGCCTTGGTCAACCAGATTGCCGCTGAGGTTGCAGCCCGCTATACCAAGAGCTACAAACAAGATGGAAAATCCGTCTGGGCTATATATACTCGCGACTACAGAGTGCAGAGCCCGACTGGATGCCAGATCTTGGTCACGGTCCCGCATATACTGCAGATCCTCTTGCTCGCGCCAACAAACGCCAAAGGGCCAAATGCCTGGTCAAAGCGTATCAAGAGAATCATATTCGACGAGGTGCACTGCATTGGTCAAGACGACGATGGCATCATCTGGGAGCAGTTGCTTCTAGCAGCTCCGTGCCCTGTCATTGCCCTCTCGGCGACCATTGGCAACCCTGGCCCCTTTCAGGAATGGCTCTCACAGGTTCAGAGAAGCAAGGGGCTCAAGCTAGACACAGTGGTGCACACCACTCGGTATTCTGATCTCCGCAAGTTCATTTATACACCACAGGGGCGTAAACCGTTCCAGGGGCTTCGTCGCAACAAGGCGCTTCCGGTGCCTGGGTTGGACGAAGGTGACAGAGCATGTCCCGAATTTGAATTTGTTCACCCAGTTGCAGCTCTCACTGACAGGTGTGTATAGCACTCATCATCTTAGGACTGAATATCCGAGCTAACAATGTTCCAGGGCTCGCACAGCGCTTGATGATCTTTCTCTGGAGGCAAGAGACTGTCTAAGCCTATGGAGAACGATGATGGAGGTCTTGTCGAAGGAAGACGCCGCCAAATTTGGCGTACCGGATCTCTCTACTTGCCTCCCGGAAATCATCTCAAAGGCAGACGTTATTCGATGGGAGGCAGATCTCAAACAAGCTCTTCGACGCATCATGGAGAGCCCAGACAAGGTGTTCCAGGAGATCCGAAACCGGTTGGAGATGCGCTCCGTTGAAGAAGATCCAGATCCTGCCCCCATTCAGGACAAGAGCAACATATTCCACTTGGTTGTCGATTTGCATAGCCATGACGCCCTACCTGCCCTGATCTTCCACTATGACACTCATGGGTGTGAGCAGATTGTGAAGATGATCTTTGCCAACCTCGTGGTAGCTGAGGACAAGTGGAAAGAGAGCTCACCGGAATGGGCCAAAAAGATGGAAGACTTTGAAGCATGGCGTAAGACTGCCAGCATACAGCAGACTCTGATTATACGTCAGCGAAACAGAGGCAAAAATAGAGACGACGTAAGGATGTCGCAGGACGAGCGGTTACGAGAGGTGGCGAGTATCGAGATCAGCCATTGGGCAAGCTTCGATCCGGACGAGCCATTGGAACGGTTCAGCTTCGCAGACACAACCAAGATGCAAGCCTCCGAGGTAGAGGTCATAGTTCAGCCCGTACAGGGCCAGGTGGCTGACTGGATGATCGATGCCCTTCGACGCGGTCTCGGTGTGCACCACTCCAGTCTGAACCGCGAATATCGCCAAGCGTGAGTACTCTGCGACAGCTCTACACTGGCGCACCTGACTGACTAAAGAACCTACACAGGGTCGAGGTGTTGTTCCGCAGAGGTTATCTGAGGGTTGTCGTTGCCACTGGAACATTGGCCCTGGGCATCAACATGCCTTGCAAGACGGTCGTCTTCCAGGGCAGCTCGGTATTTCTCACCGCCCAAAACTTCAGACAGGCGTCGGGCCGTGCCGGGCGTCGAGGCTTCGATCTCCTAGGGAACATTGTCTTCAACCAGATCCCACGGAAGCGCGTGTATGAAATCATGTCGGCACGGCTGCCGGGCCTCAACGGCCAGTTCCCCATATCCACGACGCTTGTCCTGAGGCTCTTCTCGCTACTTCACGGGTCGGACAACTGCGAGTTTGCAGCGAGCATGGTGCGGTCGCTGCTGTCCCAGACGCGCCTCTACTTGGGAGGACCCGAGTCGGAGATGTCCATCAAGCACCACGTCCGGTTTTCCATCGAGTACCTTCGGAGACAGAATCTGCTCTCCGCTGCCGGCGTCCCCATCAACTTTGCCAGCATCGTGGGCCATCTGTACTTCATGGAGAATGCAGTGTTTGCCTTTCACTCTCTGCTCAGAGGCGGGTACTTCCACCGCCTCTGCGCAGACACGAACCCCGACAGAGTCTTGCTGGAAATGGTGCTGGTGCTCTCCCACATCTTCTGTCGGCTCCCGATCAAGCGCAATCAGAAGAATGTCGAGACTGCCCGAACCTCATCGTCTGTCATCTTTCTTCCACCTCTTCCCAAAGAAGCTGAGCGCCTGCTCATCCAACACAACCAAGAAACTCTTTCTATCTTCAAGAATTACGTGAAGTCGTACGTCAGCCATAACCTGGCCAACACTAGGGATCGAATACTGCCATTTACTCAAACATTAGTTGGCCAAGATGAGCCGGTTCATTGGGCGTCTGCTGACTCCGGCGCCGCGGCCATGGTGAGATCCCCTTTCATTGCCCTCTCTGGAACTACGGACAACTTCACGACGATCCACGAGCTGTGCCAGACGGTGCGCGGAGACGTCTTCTTGGAGGAATCGGCCATCCCAACGATACCAATGTGGCCGCATGATACCCGCCAGGAGTTCAACGCCTATCTCTACGATTTCTACAAGCACGGCAGCTTGGATGTCCTGGTAAGGGACAACGGAATCCGGCGGGGTGAGGTGTGGTTTCGCCTCAAGGATTTTTCTCGCACGCTGAGCACCATCATCAGCAGCCTCACGGTCCTCATGGACGCCAGTAATGAAGATGCGGAAGAGGCTTGCGAAGGGTTTGAGAGCCCGTCGGATAACGAAGCTGGGACCACGAGCAGCGGGTCGAGCGATGACGGTTCTGGTGCAGAGGCAACTTCTTCTCCCATCAGTGTTGACGACTGGGATGGCGCTGGGTATGCGAGCCTTGATGGTCATGCAAAGGGGAAGGGACTGTATCGAGTGCTTCGAGCATTTATTCGGCTGAGGGATGAGTTTGATGAAAAGTTCCGCAAGGTGTGGTCGTGATGGCTGGTGGTTCTATATGGTCTGTGGGAAGGTCTGTAAGGGCAAATCTGACAGGTATAATTTGATATGAGCTGTAATGTGTGATCAGGAAGACGGGATGTATTGCTGGATTCTTAGTTCAGATCTCGTAGAGGAGTGGTGTCTTGTCATGTTGTGAGATTGACTACAAGCTTGACCGACTGGGTTTGCCTGTGCTGTTCCCGTCTTCATTTTGTCGCCGCCGACGTCTGATAAGAAGCCGTAATGGCATCTAAATAGTCATCATCCAGCATTTCAGCCAGAATATAGTCTCATGGCTTTTTGGGAAGACGCTTCATCTCCGCATACCTGGTCATGGCTACGTCCAACCCAAGTTGATACAAACATATTCACCCCTGCGACATATCCATGTTGTTGTACAACCGAGACAATTAATGTCCGGCCGCGAGATGCCCCCTCCATCGTCTTACCCAGCGCAGATCACACAAGCAAACCATTCTCCCGTATGAAACCAGCGCCGTCTATCACTGGTGGTTTCGCCTTGTTTTGCAAGGCTGCCACTAATTGGGCAGAGCACAGCACTGCAGCCAAGTCGATAAGTAACGGAAAACTTAGCCCCTGGATCTTGGGCCAATGTATCTACGCCGTCGAGAAGCAGATTTACCCTGTAAGGTGGAACCTCAAGGTTATGGCAACGCTGTCGGCGTTGGGAGAAAGAGTCTTTGGTACTAAGGGTCGTTGATACTTCGCGTTATGTTACGTGGTATCCTGATGAATATCTCGATAGTTGTTGTGGGATTGTCTGTCATATTCTTGGTTGGAGCATACAAATGCGCCCTGATAGTATCAAGCTCAAGATACCCCCAACTGGTATAGTAGCCGACCATGTTGTAGAAGCTCCTTGCATACGACCCTATCAGAGACACGGCATTCATGAGACAAGGGAAGGACGGCAGAGTGAAACCGTGTCATATCGCCTGCTCGATAAAATACCGTTTTCAAGTAACAATGATAGGTGCTACTACTAGTAGTTGTGTCTATGCTTGACGGAACGCGTTCTTGGTATGTCTTGAATTTGCCAATATCGCTTCAAGGCTCCCATACTTACAGTCTCTCCTTAACGCCTCTATATATCATCGTTACATACCGCGACTCTCATTCTGTCCGCATGCTTGTGATATAGGCCCGGACTATCCCGTCCATGGAGATGCTTCACGTTCCGTAAAGTACATACGTTCAAAGAAAGAAGAGGCCGACCCAAACTAATATCCATCAGAACCGGCCCCGAGTCAAATTTCGACTGCATGTCCTGAGGAACACCTGGTCCTACGAGCAGATAGTGATGAATACAGAGATCCCTAGTGGTAGCTAGCAGCTGTTTGTACTTCCCACGTTCAGGAATATGTAGAAAGGTTCTGCTCGATTCATATTAGAAAAACGCTCTTGCAAATCGCTGTACCCAACCATATATGCCTTTTTACCTCTTGCTTATGTTGTGCAAGTGCCGCGCCTAAACACAGGGTTGATATCACCCCGACCTAGGTCAGCGGGTCGAAGGATACATGCAAAGGGAAAGCAAACGCAGGAACGAGGATAATCAGCTCTGTAATTCGCGTCGATAACTGAATCTTCATCCTGCCTAGCCAAGCACGTAGAGTAGTGGTAGACCAGTAAGACAAAAGTCTTGTCGTCTAGGCATGGAGTCAAACTCCATCCTTCTCACTTGGTTGAACAAGCTGCTTAGGTATACTAGAGAAAAGAGGGTTATCACGCTTACGGTCGTTATTGCGAGAGCTGAACGACGTTCATCTTCTCGAACTGATGTCATATCGCCTCCAAGAGCTACTGTGGTCTGAAGTCGTACGACTCTCTCTGTTGATTACTGAATATTTCCCGGCTCCTGAGCTTGGCCGCGCGCTAAACCGCCCATCAAAGTAGACTCATCCAAGGTAACCTGAGTCGTGATTGGGAAGGTTTTGTTACATGCAATACCCCGACAACAATCCAAGTGTTATACCAAGAAGGGACTACTCTATCTGATCCCTGAAAGGCTGAGTTGAGTGGTTTAGCAGCGTAGCATTCAAGCACCTCCTCTTCGCACGTACTATTCCCGATTGAATAGCGTCTACCGACTTCATGAATGATGCCGTTAAGAGTAAAAGTTGCGCGGCAAAACTGACACAGAGGCGCGCTTCCGTTCGGTGATGCCTCCTTGAATAGGGCATGCCGTCGATGCCTCTGGTTTCCATCCGAAACTCGTCCAGAACAAAAAAAAAAAAAAAAAAAAAAAAAAAAAAAGGTACAACGGGACTCGTCGTCGCTTCTCACTTCTACTTGCGCTGCAACGGACTAGTATCTGGCGATGGGAATCAATAGTAGGAGGAGTACCAAGCATATGTAGAGTCAGATGAAGCAGAAGATCTCGGGGGTCTCTAGGGTCCTTGCTCGAGTCCCGGAATGCTTGGTGCGATTCGGCTGTCGACGGGATCAGCAGGAGCTGGGGTTCAGATTCTTCGCAACAGCCCGAGCTGTCTCTATTGCCGAGCTGAAAGTCGTCATCCTTGGGGTCTAGTATCTAGCTTACATTTACCTAGCCACAGCTCCCTACATGTAGAGCTCCTGTTTCCCATGAGGCTCTTTTTTACCCTTCCTTGTTTCTCCAAGCGAAGCCGTTTGTGCAATCTGTGCTTACTCGTAAACTAGCAGTAAAGGGGCATAGTAGCGAGAGTAGAGGGAATTCCAACCGCCAGGGACGATAACAAGTGGGAAAACAGGAAGCAATACCGCCTAGTATGCAGTGTAGACATGCAGATATTTCAGTATTCCCAGCATGATTCCCCATGTTCCGCCATGGCAAAGTATGTGCAGCGGATGAAGCCATCGAGCAGGCCCTCAAGCACACCCACCAATGTAAGTCACCGACCTCACTTATACGATATAGGTACGAGCTCGGCAATCGCTATGCTTCCCCTTTGTTTAATCCTCCTTTCTTTTTTGGTCCTTGTAGTGATACAGACAGCTTTCCTACGCAGTACAACACACACGACAAAGTAATGACTCCCTTTCCTCCCTTCCTCCTCTCCTCCTCCCCCTGTTCGACACTATGAGACTACACTCGAATTGTCGCCTTTCACCGTGTGTGCGCGTTAAATGCAGCCTCCAGCTCTCACATGAACATTGCCACAAACACACGACAGCGGATGGCTGAATACCAGCACATTGAGCCCAACATGGTCGATCCCCCCGAAGTTGAAGCCCAACCCCGTTGCTAACAGACCCTTGTCGTCTCATGTCCGTCCATCTATTCCAGTCTCCTCTGGCCCAAGCCACACGCATAAACACCCGCGAGATAGAACCAACAGGGAACTCATCGGCATCTCCCACTTCATCAAACTTGTTTCAAGAGTCAGTTGTATAGGGGCTCCAGTCGCCACAATGAGCCCCCCCCCCCCATCTACATACATACATGTATGTACATAGCCAAATCTCTAAGCGCGCGCCTTTGCCATCAGAAGTAATATATGCGACAACAATGGTACTGCATACCTTTTCTCCCCATGTAGCCTCTGCTCGGCATCTGGTGGCCTCGTACTCGGCACATGTTTGTTGCCATTCACCCGTTCACCCATTCTTCCCTTTCAGCATTGGGCCCCCTCCCCCCCCCTGCTTGTCGGCGACCAACAACATTTGCACAAAGCCTGTTTTTATGTCGCGCAGATGGAGGAAGCGCAAGCAACAAGAAATGGTTGGCATAGGCAGCTGGGACTAGACTTTGTATACTGTATCAACCATTCAGAGGCAGTATTCCTCTCTAATCAAAGTCATACAGAAGAACATCTTTGGACTGCCCTCAAACGAACATCTCCATCCATCCGACGATAATGGCATCTACCAACCCCAATCTCCAAAACAGCAGAAAACCCTTGTCCCAAACTCCCTCCCCTCTATTCATGCCTTCTTCCCCTCCCCTCTCTCCAAATCCCCAAATCTACTCCCATGTCGATGCCCAGTCGGTCGGGTCAGCTCCCCCCTCCCCCTAGCAACTCCTCGGAGCAAGCCCCGTCGGCAACTCTCCGTCCCCTTCTTCCTCTCCACATGTCTGTTTGATGCCTGATGTCGGCCCCCGTCATCTCCAAATAAGCCGCCTTGGGCCACATCAATACTTATCTGTATCCGTATGTACTACTACCGTAACATTTCTCCATACCGCCGCAATGCCCCGGAACGTCCCAGATACTCGAGCATGCCTACCTTACATATTTTGTTATCATACCTGCCATTCGCGTCACCTATCGCCCATCATAGTCTCATCCAAAGGGGCAGCCATGCCAGGGGGAGGGCTCTCCGGTCCCATATTCCTCGTTGTTTCTCCTTTCTCTTATCAAACATTACAAGTGAACGTAAGGTAGTAGTAGTGATCCAATACACACGCCCCGTCCCCGTCATACCGCTGTTTTACGTCTACCCTCTCATATCATGTATGGACAATGCGAGAGCAGGGGAAGGATTACGCCCTTGATGACATTCCTTGTAACGGATCACGTAGTATTCTTGCTGTAACTTGTCACAAAGACTCGGCATCTGCATCTTCCGGCCACCTCCAGTGAGATCGCTGATTGTGCTTTCGCCCAGCATCAGATACCGAGAGGAATAGTAACCGCCCAGACATGCAAAAAGGCTACCTTGCAGTAATCATACCACAGCCCCCAGCCCTGCGAACCCGACTCCACGATATCCCCCCCTCACGAAGCCAACCTGGTCCGTCAGCTCTCTCCCCCTCTCTTCTCCTATCCGAATCGCCACATTCAGATTCACAAACGGCGTAAATCATCATCCCGACTCAACTACACCACCTTCTCCGCCTGTCCGCTCTGCCCAGAATGTCGGTCCTGCTGATATCAGGCCTCATCATGACTAATCCATCACAAACAATCAACAGTCTTCTGACAAGGTCTAGTAAGCATCAGTCATCTGGGTTAACAGGCTCGGGTCGCTGATGGGTTGCCAGAATGCATGTATCCCACCGAAGTGACAACGTCATTCAGCTGCTGCTACTGTCCGCAACCAACTCCAACCATGTCCATACACAATGCGCCGAGTACTATCTCGTACAGCGTTGGGCTTCCAAGCAGCTACAGGCAAGACATCAGCATATCATTAACCCACCAGTCCTGGAGATCTCCATTCATCTTCATTATTGAATCCAAAACAAGCACTGCTATTCCTGGACTTGTAGTCTACCCCGACCTAGAAAGACAATGCTACGCACATGCAGATAAACCTCCTCGATTCACCCATGCCCTGTCCACCCACCCCATGCCCTTACCATTCCCTCCCTACCAATCCTTTTCCCCTTCCCCACGTCACCGTCGGCCCTCCTCCAGGGGCGGCAGATGCGCGCCAAGTGAGTAGCCTGCCCGCCGGCATGCATAATGGTATCTCCTCCGAATCCACCCCAGATGTAGGATACTCGCGCAAACAAAGCAAAGAGAAAGAAGGAAAAGAAAAAGCAAAGGAGCATTAGCTTTCCAACAGCGCCAGATGCGGAACAATGTATGTGATACAGTGTATGAGAAGAGGTAGCACCAATACACCTCCAAGTAATGGCTTTTCAACGCAGCTTGAAGATTTTTCTGGTTTGAACAAGAAGAAGAACAGAAAGAGTAAAGAAGAAGATGGTTCAAAGACCGTCAATGTGGTCTATACCTTGCGTGTATATGATATATCCAGGTGAGAATACGAGTCAAAATCGCAGTACGATGCAAAATCGTCGCGCCCTGCGCTGCGCCGTCAATCGTGATGCCGGCATATTGCAGAGCCAACCGCCCCATTCAAACATCTTTGTATATTGTCCGCCAAATGCTTCACCGTTCAAGTTCATGTAGATAAGTTGTAAGAAGAGACAAACAAGGGTCCCCATATTACGCCAAAATGATCAAAGAAAAGCAGATACCAAAAGCAACAGAGTTATGTCGCTTCAAGTAGTCGAAAAGAATTGATAGATAATCAGAATGAAGAAGACGATTCGCGTATTCCTTCCAGGGAGGGAGACGAAAAGTAGAATAACTCTCTCAAGGTCCCGGAGGCAGTCCGATGTGTGGTGGTGGTGGCTGTGGCGGCATCGGCTGTGCAATATTAGGATCGCTGTTGGAATAGGGTGGCGCAACGATGGGAAGCTTGGGCGTGGGATGGCTGAGGTTGCTGGAAAAGCTCGAGGCCGTCCTTCCGTCCATGGGAAACAGGTCCCGCTGCAGTCCCTCCAGGATGTGCATGTCAATTCGTAGAGAGCTCGTATGCGTCGCGGACTGCCGCAGGAACGCAATCGTCTTGTGGAACAGGGACCGCAAAAGATCCTCGTTGACGAACTTGTGCAACACGGGGTCCTTAAAAGCTGCCGAGAGAACAAGGAGATTGCCCCATTGACTGCGCCCGTCACGTTAGTAAACAGAGACGCCTCAGATTCGTGGGATAGAAAGGAAACTTACGCATGCGCCGTGCCAAACACGTTGGTGATGATGGGTCGCTTCTCCCCAAGGCCATGGAACGATTTCGTGCTCTCAATCAGGGCTACAATACCCTTTCGGGCCAGCTCAATGATGCCGGGGTCCAGTTGGCTCGAAGTCTTGGTATCCGGGCGGATGTAAGGTGCAATGATGCCATCGCGGTACTCCGACATGACGGGGACGTGGGGGCTGGAGGGGTGGCGCTTCACCTCAAAGGACCATTGGAGAATTTGGCGGACAAACGGCCGATAGGTGATCATCTGCGCTCCCCAGTACTTGGCCCTCAGGCGCGCCGACAAGATGTCGGTTGCAGGGGGGTCCGTCTCGTTGAAGCGGAAGCTGGCCGGGACCCAGCGCATGGTCGAGACGCCGTCGGCCACGAGCCTCACGTTCTTGAGCTTCTCCGGCTTGCTGGGGTCGTCGGGCGAGTAGAACATGCGATGAATGCTGTTTAAGTGCGTCCGGAGGTACAGCTGCGCCGGATAGCTGTCCACGACCCTTTGGTCGAAGCCTTCGAGGAGACTCATGTTGGGCTGGGGCATGTCGTTCTCGTATTGCAACAGGCCAGATGGAGGGAGCGGAAGCTCAGCAATCAAGTCACTGCGACGGATTAGTACCAAAGGCTGCCAGCAAGGATGCATCTCTAGGGTTTCATACCTCTCCAGCTGCAGACACGTCCAGAAGGCTAGTGCCAGCTGGTTGTACTTTGTTTCGCGGATGAACTCCATGTTGGTTTTGATTTTCCGTAGCTTGTCCAGGCTCCTGTGGAACGCACATCAGCAATCGAGAAAGAAATAGTTATGATAATCACAAGCGAAGAATCACTCACGGTCTCATGATTACTTGCAACTTGTGGCTCGCTTTGTGGATGAATGCAAAGCTCTCCAGGGGGCGTGCAAGCTGGCCGTGATACAGACCAGCAAAGATGTTGGCGTAGACATTCTTCATATTGTGGTACGCGCCCGTATGGTTGCCGAGAATGTCCGTTGCCAACGCAAAGTATTCCAGGCCGGGAATGACCTCGTAATTCTTCTTCAAGCCCAACCCTGAGCGAACAGGACCGCTTGCGCCATGAATGGATGACCTCCTGCTCTGATAGCCGCGCTCTTGGTCTCTGGGCGAGGGGAAGCCAGAGGACTGGGAGTGGGCGGAAAACCCTGGAGGTGAGCCCTGCGTTGGCGATGGGGGCACCCCGTTGCGACTGACGGGGCTTCCGTGAGGCATTGGGTCCACGGGGAAAACAACGTCGGGAACTTCATCGGTGTGCAGGCAGATCTTGCCGAGTGCGATGATAACGAGAACAAGCGCGCTGTGGATAGACCGGCTCGGCTTCCCGACGCGAACAGGACCTGGTGTCGAAGGCCCATCCGTCTCGGGCGTCCTCTTTCTCTTGGAGCCGGTGACCTCGAGAGGCTGTGACACGGCGAAGGCCGACTTCAGAGGCTGCGGCTTCGGCTTGGGTTGGACGGTGGGCAGCTCGTTCAGGAACTGGTGAACCCACTCATCAAGCACCTTTGGCTGGATAATGGGGTGCATGTTGAGAATGTTAGCTTTGAAGCTCTCCACATAGGTCGCGATCTTGGACTCGGTGAAATCCGGATTCCCGTCGGAGCTGAGGACGCCGCCTCGGTACTCGATCTGATCGCCTGGACTCAGGCCGCCAAGCTGTCCCCAGTCCGCAGCGGGAGAGGAGGACACAATATCCGACATGTTGTCGTCGCCGATGTCCACGTTTCCGTGATCAGCCGTTGCCTCCCTCGAGACTCGAAAGTGCGCGTCCTCGCCTCGCCCATACACCTTGAGAATTCCGCGGTTCTGCTCCTGGCTGATGGGGTACTCGCTGATGAACTTGATGCCTTCGCGCTCCAGGTGATGCCGCGTTAGCTCTTTGATAGGGTCCCAGTCGAGCAGGAGCCCAGCCAAGGTCGTATGGTTGATGGGGATTGCAGGTTCGCCAGGCGGCACTGGTGGCCCCGGTTCGGCCTCTATCTCGTCCTCAGCCATGAAAGTGGTGGCTGTGGGCTCAGGAGCCGCCTCTGCGGGCACCGTCTCAGTGGACAGCACCGGCTGGTCCCGAGACATGTCCTCCATAGGAGATCGATCCGCCATGAACTCGTCAGGTGCACGCGGCGAGCCTGGGATGGGCACTGACATGGGCTTCAGCTCCGCATCAGGACTAGGATCTCGCTTAAGCTGGAATAGGCTGGGTGTCCTCGAGAATACTGCTTCCATCTTGGTCAACCTGTCATCCATGTGCCCAAAGCGCTCCGCGAGGGCGGAAAGCGTGCTCTGCATGCTGGAGATGCCGTCCAGAATGTCGGCCTGAGCCTTGTCGGTTCTAATTGCCAAATCTACGTCAGCAGTCCGTTCCAGCCTCGCTTCGAGGAAAACAAAAGAGGCGCTTAGAGCGTGGATGAAAGGTATATCATGCGACTTACGCTTTCGGCACGGGATCACGATATCTGCACTCCGTCCCCTTGTCTCTACACGTCTTACACGGTTTCGTCTCATCGCACTTGGCTTTGAGCTGTCGACACTGATCGCATGCCTGGGAAAAGTCAGTGTCCGAGTCCCCACACGATACACGATATATAGTCATAGGGTGGCCGAGTCAGACCTGTGAAGCTCTCGTGTTCTTCTTCTTCGAGACGGCGGAATAGACACTGTAGAAGGGCTCTGCGGCTTGGTAACTGGGGGTCTGTTCGTAGGACGACTGGTGTGCAACGGGCGTGGGCGGAGGAGGGAAGCTAGGGGCGCGATATCCCCCGGGAGTTGGGGGCAACGATGGCGCATTGTCGTAGTTCATGTGTCGCGGTGGAGGGTTATCTTGGAAGGGAGGTGGTGGGGGATGCGGCTGCGACTGCTGCTGTTGCTGGTGCTGTGGTTGTTGTTGCTGCTGCTGTAACGACTGCGGTTGTGACTGCTGTTGCTGCTGCTGCTGGTGGTGCTGGTGCTGGGGGTGTTGCGTAGGGTGTTGCTGAGGGTGTTGCTGAGGATGCGGCTGCTGAGGGTGCTGTTGTTGCTGAGGATGGGGTGGTGCTGACATGGCTTGCGGCGGCGGTGGGAGGGACTCTGGCGCATGGCCCGTCGAGTTGGGCCTCCGTAGATCCTCGGTAGGCTCTCGCTTTATGACGGTATCTCGGTTGGCATATGGGTGATAGGGATGTTGCGCAGGCGACATAGGGTGCTGCAGTCCCGGGTGATGTGGCGGCGGCGGCGGCGGCGGCTGGCGATACGGGTCCTGCATGGGAGCGAGAATCTCTTGGTCGGAGTGTCGACGGTCCATGTCAGGATGCTGCTGGGCATGCCCGTGGGCCGAGGCCGGTGCTGGCGGCGCAGGAGGAGGAGGCAGCTCCGAGTGTCTAGACGGGTAGGACGGGTAGGGACTCGAGGCCGGATGGTGATGGTGCAGGTGGTGGTGGTGGTGAGTAGGAGGGCCCTGAGGAGCAGGAGGAGGCGGCGGCGGCGGCGGCGGGAGCTGGGTCGAGGGGGCATGAGGGCCGTGGGAAGGATGAGGAAGAGAGTGGTGAGGTGAGGGAGGAAGGTGATGATGAGGATGCGGCAGCGTGGTGGGCTGCGGGCCAGCACCCGCCCACGAGGACAGGCGCGGCCGTTTGCTGTCGGGACCTGAATCCATGCTGCTGGCTTGACGTAGAGACAATGCAAGCTAGGACACGCGGATACATAATCAGGAACGAGGCGAGAGGTGAAGCAAGGACCACAGAGGGGTGTTGACCATGGGCTAGAGGGCGAAACACCAGGACGCCGGGGGGAGTGTCGATGAGCGGTGCTTGGTTATTGGGCCTTTGGCAGCGGGAGACCGGGAACCAGGAACGACATGGGTGGGTGAGCCTCGCACGATTAGGGCGACTATGATGACATCTGGGCTGCCGCCGCCGTTCGAGGAGAGACTGCGAGACGCGGGCGCGCGGTATAATACACGACAGGACACGACAGGACACGACAGGCCAGGTGCGGTACGGTACGGCTGCGGTACGAGCACAAGCAGGACGAGCGAGGTTCGGGTGATAGTCGAGCTCAGAGACGGGCTATCGACGGCTGGGCCTAGCCCCAAACCCAGCAACGCGAACGCGGCAAAGGGGGGCGATCAACCAGGACGAGCCTCTCGTTGGGCAGCAGGATGCACAAGAGCAAGGCGGCGAGGCGGCGGAGGGGGACGGCGAGGACGACGAGGGATGGAGAGCGAGAGAGAGAGAGAGAGGAGAGACGGGACAGGAGCAGGAAGCAGCAGCGGCGACAGCTTCACCAAGCAAGCTATCTCTCCGGTTGCCGGCAGCTGTGGGGGCGGGATGGATAAAAAAAAAAAGAAGGAAGAGAGCCAAGGCCGCAGAGCGAGACAAACTTCCCAAGTACCCAGAACCCAGAACCCTGCAGCAGCCCAGCAGCCAATCCTGCCCGATGGGGAGTCGAGGAGCAGGCCGAAGTCGAGTCGAGTCAAGCCTAGGCGAACGAACGAGAGGCGATGACGGGCAAATGGGCGGAAGAAGAAGGGGGGGGGAGTGTCAGAAGCACGAGCCGGCCGTGGGAGGTCAGAAGCCTGCGAGAGGGTGGTGGTAGCAGCACCTGGAGGAGACGATGAAGGGGGACGAACAAGAAGAGTGACAACACACACAAAAAAAAAAAAAAAAAAAAAAAAAAAAAAAAAAGGCCCTCTCCAGCCCCAGGTGAGACGATGCTGCTGATGCCAGCCCGAGAAATGGCCTCCTCCTCCTCCTCCATCCCTGGCCCGTCCAGTAACAGGTACCTACCTCGACTAGGTACCTAGCACCACCTCTGGTACTGTACAAGCACGGTGACCTTGTGCAAAAGCCCGGTACCTCGCGCCTCCAGCCTCCAGCCTCCAACCGTCGACATGGGACTCATCAACCGCGTGCCGTCGTCCGTATTTTTGGCATTTTGGTGGTCTGGGGGTGCGCGCGCATGGCCCGCTGACGCCACCAAGGAGGAGCTCCAGGAAAGCTTCCCAGGTACCTACGCGCTAGCAGTTGGTAGCTGTCGGGCTAGGTAGTACCTTAGTACCTAGGCTGGCAGGTAAGGTGTAGAGGTACATGCAGTACCTGCGGTCAGGAGCTGGCTCTCTGGTAGGTAGGTAAGGTACCCATCCAAGGTATCGACCAGCTACAACGACATTGCGCAGGGTTTGCTAACGAGGAACTGGGGCTTCATTACAGGGTTCCGACTTGGGACGGCGGCGACCAGGCCAGACGTTCTGTGGGATGATGTCGGCGATACAGCCTACGCAAGGGAGCCCTGCCCGCTGTCTGCTCTGCCGGGCTCTCGCCTTCACTTCTGGGCGGCCTACCTACAGTAGGTAGGTACCTACCTGGCTGCCTATCTCTCCTCATCTTGACAGCCAACCAGGTTGTCCATCACTGGGCTGGACACCCTTCACGCGTGCCTGGCTCTTGTCTCCTCCGCCTGCACTTGTACTGTACATACGGTACCGACCTCGGTGCTCGGGAAGCGGCAGTACATACATACGTCGCCAGTGGCCGGGGGCAGTCTCTGTTGGCACCCAATGGCACAGTTGCCCAAGAACTCGGGGGCGACCAGGGGGCCCTTTGAGTCGGAGCGATCACAACACCGGCCAGCGAGGGTCAGCCAGATGGGACGCTGTGGGCAGCCGATGATTCTGTATGGACTCACGGCACGGTACTCGGGCAGACGTGGAGGACAGGACGGGGCGGCAGAGGGGTGACTCGTACACTCACAAGGGACCAACAGCGGCAGCAGCACTTCACTTGGACAAGTACCAGGTACTCCTGACAGAAAGAGACTCGGTCAAGTCCGAGGCCAGAGAGGCGGGAAAGCGACTAGAAAAAGAAAGGAAAACACGACGTGAGGCGCCCGATGATAGATGGCATGGGGACCGACCCGTGATGGTGGAGGAGAGCGTGTGGGCTTCTGGCCAAGCTGCATGGATCACGCCCATCTGCCATTGGCCACCTTGTCACCTCACCACAGCAGAGCAAGCAGAGCACAGAGCAAGGAAAGAAAAAAGACTTGGACGCGAGGTTCGAGTAACAGTACCTACCCGTAATCAAGGTACAGGTGCAAGTACAGGTACAGGTACAGGTAACAGGTACCTGCTCAAGTACCCGGCCCTGGAAGCTCCAGCACGTCCAAGACGTCCAACTGCCCAAACCAAACAGACACGATGGTGACACAGCAGCTCCAAATTTGCTCCGCACCGCTAGCGGCCGGTACTGGATGTACATGTCTTTGAAATGATTTGCGAGCGCTCAAACAAGCTGCATTGATTCAAGGCCCGGCGCCAGTGCGCGTCAGGTAAGGTCGTGGTTAAGGTGTGTGCCGGCGCTTGTTCTTGTACTAAGCTACTCGTGTATCTGAGGTACCTAAGGTAAGGTAGGCATCGAGGTAATACCGGAGGATGCCCGTCGGTCATGGAAGACGGGCAATACCTCAGTCAGAGGGCGAGATGCGCGGTCCGGACAGCCATGCCGCAACTACTACTACATGGGACCTGTCTTAACTCCCCGGCGTTGGTCCTGAAATACTGATACTTGGAGTATTTCATTCAGTACAGTACGAGCTACTAAAGACAAGTGCTGATGATGATGCCATTCATCAGTCTCTTGACCCCAAAGTCGTCTGTTCGATGCCCTCCTTCGCGACGTCACCGTGCCCGTCTTCTGTCCATCTCTCCTCATTGTTCCCATCTCGCTAGCCGCCTTATGTCGTAGCAGTCCATATCTGACTAATAATAAGTGCTCCGAAATGAGCTGGGGCACCACTCCGCCTGCCTAAAGTCACCTCAATATATGATGCATATGCGAGTTCCTGCCTCTCTCGTATGGCCTCATCAATCAGAATCCAAAGCTACTACCAGGTAGTATTACTACCCGTGATACGTCGTTGAAAGACAAACGTCGTCCGTACGGATGTACCCATACTACTATGTACCAACATGCACGCGTCTCCGTAGCACACCGACGGAACGCAGCAGCAGGGCGGACCATCAAGCAAGCCACCAAGCAAAGCAATAGCGCACCAGCTAGCCATCGGCGAGCTCCAGCAGAGATCCAAACAGCTTCCATACTAGTAATACCTACGATACTTGTTACCATCCAAGTGCCACAAAAAAAACCCGGCTCCGTCCAGTCAGTTCCAGCCCAGAGATTCCCAAGCCATGGCTGCGCGCGAGTAAGATCCGGGCGCCGGATAGAGTCCCTAGGCTCGGCGGAGAGGGCGGAGAAGGGCCACTACGGGTTGCTCTAGAAGCCTCACCATCGTCGACGCCATCGTTTGGATTTCATGCTCTTGCCCGGCCATGGCTTGGGCTTTTGGCATTTTTTCTGCTTTTAGGGCCACTTTTGGCTTTCTTCTTCCCAGCTCCCAGCTGAATGGACCGAGCCGCGAGCGAAGCCTCTCATGGGGATGGTGGCGTGGGGCAGCCGGCGCCGTCTTTGCAGTTTCCACGATATGTAGTAATACTACACGCTTATTGTTTCTGTCGTGAGAAGCAGCGGCACTGTTCTTGCAAAGCACAGCATTCTGACGTCTGTCACTCAGACAAAAGGGAGGGAAACACGAGCAGAAGATGCGGCTTGCCTTGCGGCATTCTGCGGTCTGGTTTGGCAGACGGGCGAGCAGACGTCAAGCCGGTCGGTCAGGCAGACGGGAGGTTACCCCATACCTACAGGACAGGTACATGTACCGTTCAAGCACAGTCCGGATGCCATGTGCTTGGCAAAGGCAGGGCGTAGCTTTTGAGTACTTGTACATGCACGGACTGTAAGTTCTTTGCTTCAGCCTGAGATTCTGTCTCTCGCAGCGCGCGCGGCCAATGCAGCCACTTTCAACTCTTGTCACCAAAGAGGCAAAGCCGTGGGCGGGTCGGCGCACTCGGCCGCTCTGCTGCGAGACTCCAACTTATTACTACCTTACCTAGGTATACCTACCCAGAGGTACATACACTGGATGACGTCCCTCGTGTTGTATCAGACAACCAAACCGCAAAGCCTCCCGCTTGTTTTCGTTTACTGTGAGTACATTCTATTACTTCCAACGGCCCTCGTAAGTAACGTGTTTATACTATTACATACATCTTGGGCACAGACGTCAATTAATTGCCTCTTGTCTACTAGATGTACTTGCCGCCAACTTGCAACCCAGCCCATTAGCTTTAGCTAAGGTATAGCCACTCCCGCCAGTCTGGTTGGCCTTATTAGCCCGGCAAGAGGGAGACGAAAGAGACGGCCTCCAGCCTCTCCGTTTGCCATGTTTCTAGCGCGGTAGATTGGCAAGGGGAACTTGATACTTTCCACGTGAGACGGATGCGCCGGGCATCTTTTAGGTTTATTGGGCATCAATCTTCCCTCTTCCTACTAGTGCTTCAAGGTGTCTTCTTTCTCTTGCGTCGCACTTCTTCAACCGTTGGTCTCAGAGCGTGTGTGCCGCACAACCCGATCTGCAGAAGACGTACATACATACGTACATACATACGCAAGGCAAGCCGTTGATGCAGGGCGGGCACAACCTCAGAGGGGTGCGGGAGCAAAAAAAAAATGCTGAACCCTTGGACGGCGTACACGGGCCACGGGCTGGTATGGAGGGGTCGATGATGAGGGGTCTTTTCTCCTC